ACAAGGCTACGGAGTTGAATATTAGTAGTCGTAAACTCGAAATTGGGTCGGCTGTGCAATGACTGTTATAAAATAAACTAATAAGTTTGGCCGGGATAGCCTGGTTGATAGGGCGTTGGACTCCTGTTCGTGAGAATGGAAGTTAGAATCTAGCTGGCAGAAGAATACCCATGCATAAAATGGTGACTGGTGCATGTTAAATCTGTCGGGGTCACAAAGTCCTCCAAGTTCTCATAACAAATAAATACCTCTGGGTACTAACCTATCAGTTCCCTTGTCTTCTGGATTGGGTTCAAAATGACAAGGCTACGGAGTTGAATATTAGTAGTCGTAAACTCGAAATCGGGTCGGCTGTGCAATGACTGTTATAAAATAAACTAATAAATTTGGCCGGGATAGCCTGGTTGATAGCCTCAAAATTGAGTCGGTTGTTCAACGGCGGTTATAAAAAAAAAAATAAAACTTATAATCAAATTGTCTTCTCTTGTTTTCTTTCTAACCCTTTGCATAATTTCTACGCACAATCAAAATTTCATATTTCTAAGTCTTATATATTTTGTAACATAAAGAAAAAACAATTGAGAAAAAAATTCGCGAAAAATTATTAAAAATTGCAAATAAAATATATTTAAAATGAATCTAAAAAAATAAATAGTGGCCCAGCCCTTAAATATATAGTGGCCCAGCACGCCAAATTTTTACTCTATGCTTAAAATGTGTTTCTTTTGTAAGTTTTTATCCTCGTTCAAGAAATATGTGCAATAAAAGAAAAGTTCTACATAACAGTCTCATCACAATTAATATATTTAACAATAAAGTAATATTATCAAATTTTTTAATAATATAATCTTAATACTCAACAATAAAAAATAGTGACAGTTTACTTTAGGTGTATAGAAATGGAACTGAACTTATAAGGGCCCCATCATTTTCAGTAGCTTAGGGCCCCACCAAGCTTAAATCCGGCCCTGTTAACAGTCATTACAATATCTAAAATGTTATATTTATTACTTGTTTGCTTAAAGTTTTGGTTCAATTGAAATTTAAACTTGCAGTGGAAGAAATTTAATGCTATTTATTCTTTTAAAATTTAAATTTATCGTTCAGGAAACACCTTAAATATTAACAGTGTTAAGTATGAATTAAATCATTTTCTTAGAATTGAAAAGGAATATGCCATGAACAAAGTAATATTTTTACAGCGAATTCGAATTCTCAACCCTCAAAAGCGGCCTAAATTACATAGTTTTATTTAATTGATGAAGTAAGGATAATTAGGAGAAATAATAATATCGAAGCTTTAATTCATAAATTATAAGCATTTGAAACTGTTCTTTTTTTCCCCTCAGGCTTTATTTTAATGATTTACTTCAAATGGTGTGTTTAGGTATTTAAAACTATTATTTTAGTTTGTAGCTATGTAAAAAGTTTTATATTGCAGTTCGCAATTTGTTATCCTTAAATCAAATAAAGAGTCAAAGTTTTTCAGGAAATATTTCATATAACATAGTACCAATAGAAGCTTATAGGCGAAGTAAAATAGCATCGGAGAAAAATTCGTATATTCAAGTTTATATATCTGATATATTATGAACACTAACACAGAGTTAACTATAAGCGGAAGCTAATCCGCAACTCATGAGCTCAAATACGCCATCGAACGTTAAGTTTCCTTGTCCAACACAATGCTAATTCGACAGTTTAGCATACGTCAACAAACGAAGGATGCGCTTTTTTTACCAGTTCGCAACGCCGCTCGTAGACCATCCCAGTCGGGAATTCTGATAACTCTCTTTACCAGGCATGCTCGTTAGAGAGAGTCACAATTTCCAGATTCGTTGTTATTGTAATTTATTTACGCTGTACAATGCAATGAGCTAATGGTGACGGTCAGGAAAGCATCCCTGAGGATGATCCGAAGACATGCTATCACAATTTTGATCTTTTTCAGAAGAGATGACACCCATACTTCGGCAATTCGACGATCCCGGCGCAACGTCGAGTGGCGAGAAGGCAAAATGATCACTCACCCGCAATCTGATCGCAGAGAGTGATGCTTGATTTCGATGATCTGCTCTGCTGGGTACCATGTCTTAATGATCAGTCCACTGCGGAACATTTCTAGATTAATACCCTCCCCTTATTTTGAAAATTTAGAAATGCTTAGTTACTAGTTTATTAATATGCTTAGAAGATCTTTTATAGCCATGATCGCAACGCTCGAATACGCCATCTAAGAGGGGACCAGTTCAATGTCTTGGCCCTCTCTTCCTCTTCTCAGTATACTACGATTTCATATTTGTAACAAATATTTTTTTAAAAATATCCACCCACGTTCTTGTAGAACTACGAGTGTTCAAAGTAGTTTTCAGTTTCACATAGTTTCCCAACTTAATCTTAATCTATTTGAAGATCAATAGAGAAACTGAAGTACTTCCTTCTCCTATGACTCTCCACACGCTAATGGTAAAAGCATGTAAAGTGTTGTCATAGGTAGAGAGTTCTGCTCTACGCCACCTATTGCCCATTTTAATCGCCAAAAGCCACCCCAAGATACTTCATTTTTTCCACCTTCTATGGCAAGCTATTCCGCAAGCATATCCGTTATTAACCCAGCTGCTTTCGTCAGCATTTATCAATTTCACGTTTGTTGCCAAAATTTTTAATTTTGAAATAAATTTTGCTAAAATAGTGATAAAAATCGAAAAATGAAGATTTTTATTTCCTTATTGCTTTTTAACTTTTTATTTTACTTAATTTGATTTGCATTTTTCGTTTTATGTTCATTCAAAATATTTACAGCTCTATATACAAAAAAATTAAAACGTGAATCCGGCAATGGCTTTCTATGAAAATGAGTTTAAAAAGTACTCTTAACTTCAAATAGCGTTATAAAAACTCATTTCCCAAATTACGTGTTTATCAATCATACTCGTGATTTTTGTATTTATTTTTCGAGAAGTGATTAAATACCGAAAATTTGATTGAAACTAGATCACTCATTTGAATATTGAGCGAAAAATCGAAACAAAATATTGAAAAGGTAACACAACCAATTTCAAAGTAGCTCAATCCATTTTTCTAAAGATATTTTTTAAACTTTTGAAAAACATATCAATTATTTTTACCTGCTTGCATATTTAATTAAGTACTCCTCAATTTCTATTGTTACTGTTTTAGCAAACCCCTTTTTTTATTATTATTTCCTTAATACTTTAAAAAAATACACAATTATAAGTGTCCTGTTTTTTCTAGAGAAACTAATCAATTTCGAGTACTTGAATTAAAATCAGCTCATTTAAAACACTTTTTTTGTTTTAAGAAAAATTTCTGAAAATGGATTGAACAAGCTTTAAAATCACGTAGGAATCATGTTAAAAAAATTAAAACAGGAAAAAATAAACAAACAAATACTCACCTAAATTAATATTTTATTTTCAATATCTATTTAAACATGCTTGTAAAGATGGTATGGTCTCAATTAAAAATTCTTTTTAAGTCAATATTTTACAAGTAATTGGCGGGATAATCACATGAGCACATTTTCAACAGTTTTCTTTTGTTAAAAATATCAAAATATATGTTGTGAAAATAGTTTTCCATATTGAGGAGCATTGGGATAATGAGTAATAATTACAATGCAAAACAGAAGGTGCTATAAGTATTTACATTGTTAGCATGAATAAAACAAAAAGTTAAAGCATATCAGAAATTCATAAAATTATAATATTACAGAGAGGGTGCAAGCTAGATAATATTATTTACAAAGTGTAATGCCATTTACAGTGAGAAATATGTACAGCATGTTTTGCATAAAACATTACAAATTCATTGCAGTCGCTTTGTGCTTATTCAATGAAATCATTGCATAGTAAAAAGTTCATATCACAGTTTTTTTTCAAAATACCAACAAGTTTCAAAAGTATTACATGTGCTATTTATATAGAATGTTTCCCACACATGGTGATTACTCAAATAATTTTTATTGCACAGAAATAATTTGGAAATAAATGAGGGCAAGGATCAAAATAATAACATTATTTATAAGTGAAAAGCTTATAGACTGTTGTTTAAAATTAACAATTTGCTAAACCATACAGGCAAAAGGAAGAAAATATAAGTTCAATTCTGTCTACAAATGAGTTACTAAAAATATCAAATTTGCTGTTTAAAAGACATATCAAGCTATAGGCAAATAAGATTAGTTGCAGAAATATGATAAAAACAAAAGTGAGAAGTATCACAAATTTATTGCTTGAAAACATTAAAATTTCTTATTATGAATAAGCAAGCAATCGGCATGTTGCAAAAGACACAAAATTGTAACAAAACAAATATAAAAACTCTCCACCTACATAAAAATAATAAATAGATAATAAAATTTTTTGTGGTGCTCTTAGAATTTGTCACTTGTGGGTAAAGTCATTCCTATCCTAACAATTTGGCTAATATGTTAAGTTTTGTTTTACCATCTTAACTGTATGAGATGATTGTTTGATGGATCCTATTATAGAAGAATTGGAAGCTTAATTACTCTAGATTTATTTTCTCTCTTTTAGCCATTTCTGTAACAAATACTTATATACTTTAAGAGCAACAAATTTTACTTATCTTATAAGTAATTGTTTGCTTTTGATTGATATTTTTTTTAAAAAAAATAATTCTAAATTAATAATTCCATTCCTTTACCTTTCTTTCTAAAGTTGGTAAATTTGACACATTTAAAGTAACAATTTAAGTTGAATTTAATAGAAATGATAAAATTATTGAACCAACAAGAGTAAAAATTATATCTAGCATTATAAAAGGTATAAAATAATATTTTTTCAAAAATAATTTCTTTCAGGAAATCAACTTACCAGAGAATAAGTTAACTTGTTGCAAAAAAATATTATAGCACTAGTGAAATTCTTCGAATTTATGTTTTTTACTTATTTCTTTTTTTTAAACTAGTATGCATAAAGCAGTAACCAAGCCAACATACCTTTCTATGAAAAATATTCAAACATGTTACTTGACCATAAATAAAGGCGTTGCGAAATGGTAAAAATAAAGGCATAATAAACATAGGAGAGCTATTCAAAATTCAAAACATGCAAAATACAATTAACATATTTTATTACAATTTTATCCTAAAATATTTTTATGTACCTAAAATCAAACTTGGGGTTAGTTATAGAAATATTAATTTTAGTCTTAATAATAGCATGCAACTTTAAAGTTTAATATGCATAGTTCTTATAGTATTGATTACATTTTTTTAACTGAGAATAAAATATCACAGAACAAAAGGAGAAAAAAATAAAGTACAAATGAGATCAACAATATTACAGATGCCTATATATGCCAAAGAAAAATAATTAAATTAAATTTTGTTTTAGGCCTCTATTAATTCTAATTGTAGTATTTGTAAACAATAATTATTCATTTGAGCATAATACACATTACTGAAAAGATTTTAGTTTTCAAAAACTAATATCTCGAGTCTAAAGAAAGAGAAAGGAATTATATAAAATCAAGAAAATAGTTTTTCCTAGTAAACTTTAAGGCTTAAGGCTATTAGTCCAAAGTTCAAACTAAAAATTTTCATACAAGCTACATTCAATTAGATTGAAAAACGATAAACCGCTTTTTTCTGCTTGTATTTTTTTAACAGACATTTAATATTATTAAAAATATTAAAACAGTTTTATGTTCAGTAAGTACTGACAAAAACATATACCTTATTTTTGGACCAAAGAATAATATAACTTGTTGGTATTTTTTACTTGTGTACATAAATGAAATTTTATACAAAGAAATAACTTATCTTTATGCAAGAGAACAACCACAAATGTATAAGTATAGCTTTTAAGCATTCTCTTATCACAATAAGTCTGTAAGAATTTATTCATGCTGAAAAATTATTTACAAAAAGTTAAATGACCAATAAAGTATATACATGAATGCATAGTCAGTTAATTTAATACAACATTTTATGAATTTTCAATATTTTCCCAAGTCTCTGCTTTGCAGTCGCAAATCCTTTCTTTGGCCTTTTATTCACTATAAAAAGAGAAATAAATCAATGCATTAAAAAGAAACTACAGAAATAAATATTATGGTTTTCATACTATAAATAATACTACAGCATTAAAATGAACATTTTAAGAGCTTTTTGGTCGTCTAAATAAAGTAATAGACAGTCTTAAATAACCTAAAATGAAATTGGTTTTTACTATAGGAATGTTGTGAATTAAAATTAATTTTACACGAATTTTTTTTTCTTCAAAAAAATACCAATTAAAATAAATCTATAGGAATGTAGCCAGCTAAACCTATCTTTATATTACACTAGTTTTATTATTTCAGAGAAAAATTAATTTGGTTAAAGGATTTAAAAATGCTATAGAGAGTTGGGATATCAAATAATAAATCCTATCTTCAAATTGCTCAAAAGAGTATTTTCAAAAGCATTTTTTGGCAATATAGACGGTTAGATGTTATTGTATATTGAGCTATTACCTAGTAAATGTTCTGGAAAGTCACCTAAGAATTTGTATTATGGAAAATTTAAATATAAGAAAATTTGCAGTTTATTACACTATTGCCCAACGTTCAAGGACAATCTAATAAGGTTAGTAGGAAAAGTCCACCCGAGTCCATTTCCATAAAAATAAGAGTGGCATATTTAATATGAGAAAGGGGCCTTTACAATAAAACTAAGGAAGATGAAGTGAAAAAAATTTAAAAACTTTAACTGAACATAAAGGTCAAACATAAAGCTTACAAAATTTGTAAATAAGTTATAGGGGTTAGACAATTGCCTCTAAATTTAATAACTGGCTTTCCAACAACTGGTACAAAAATGTTCTGCTTATTTTTCTTATTATTGTGTTAGTATTAAAAAGTTTTTGCACTATTATGTCCTTAATATTAATGTGTATATAAACTCTTCCTTATTGAAAAGGCAATTGGTTTGTTCAACAAAAGTTGGCCAAAATTATCTAAAATTAAAACCTATTATGCACTAATATGCATAAAAATGAACTAGAAAATGTTCAGAACTAACTTACTTACATTGTTATTATTTACACTGAAGGAGAATGTGTAGGTCATGTTTATGATTTAACTTGTGTATTTTTTTTCTTTCTTTTTTTTTTTTTTTTTTTTTTTAAAGCAACTGTTCTGCCTTTTGGGCAGCTGAACACTCATGAACTTAAGCATTCAATGTTCACCGAAGATGAAACAAGTGATTTAATTGATTAAAAATTTGAAGTAAAAATAGTTAAAATGTTTATTGTTACTAACTTATATTGAGATGTATTTTTACAAATAAGGAAATGTTTTTGGACTGTAAATTGCTTTAAAGCATTAATTTATAAAGTGGAGAAAATGTAAAAAGCAATTTTCTAGTCGAAAAGTTACAAACTTATTGTGATATTCTATCTCGAAATTCTCTGACAGATGGATTAATTTTCCCTAACTAAGCTCACACAATATTTTTTTACAAATAAAGCAAACATTTTATTTAAAAAAAATTTTATAATAATCCATACATTGCAGGTATAGCTTATGAAAAAATATCTCAAATATTAACAGGAAAAGAGTAAATATAGGTAATCAGAGGTCATATACATATACAGTGAAACCTCCGTTAAGCGGACATTCATGGGACCAAAAAATTTGTCAGTTTATGAGAGTTGTCTGTTTACGGGAAGGGTACCCTAATAACGAAATTTAACACTGTTAATTGTTCTTAGAATATTTTCAAAGATGTAGAAATAAATAATACCTACAAGGATACTATAAATATCTACAAGAATATTTATTTAAACAATAAGAAAGATAAAAAAGAATATATAAAGAAGTTTGATATAAATACATAATTCTGGATGTAGCTACAGATAAATAAATATAATTTTCCTATTAGCATAGATACTCAAGTTAGACATATGATACCAAATAGGAGCGTACTGTCCTCAGTCCGTTTCAATTATTAGTTTTACATCCCCTTACACCTACTTATCATTTGATAGGGACCATGGTTAATAGCTTCTTGAAAAAAAAAACCTCCCATGATTCACAGAAAAAAAGTAATGCATACCTGTAAGTCATGAGGACCTATGGAGTTGATTATTCACAATTGATCAGCTATCAAGTGTCTGAATAAATGTTTCATTTATATAAACACCTCAAAGATTATACTTCTGTTCTCTTTTTTTTACCCCAGTTGTTTACCCCAAATATAATCTTCAAATTTATAAGAAAATTAAAGAAATTTTCAATGGGGAAGAAGCGTTGAGAGATATCATTTCAACTTGAGGGGTTTCATGACCTATGTGGCCCAGATGAAAAGATCAAAAGATGCCGATGTCAGAATTCATTTCTTTAGAAAATCCTGTCACTTGATAAGACCTTGTCGAACATAATAAAAACTCCTTAGTTCAGAAATTACTGGATTTTTGGCATTGTAAAAGGGGGAAAAAAAGCCTATTTGAGAAGATGATTGACAAAGTTGTTCTTTGCTTCCCATCAAGTGCTTTTATAACGAATTCCTTGATATTCCAGAAAGAGAAATTTCGTTGAATTTCCTGATTTTCATGGATTTCCTGTTTGCTCATCACCATGATGTTGAAAGAAAAATAAAATAATGATAAATGGTGCTAGAAAATAGGTCTGATACAAAAATAAAAGAAGAAAGGAAAAATTAGTATTTATCGGCAAAAAATAAGCCCTTTGATAAAAATCATAAAATAAAATCATGTTAACAAATACCAACAGAAAGCTAGTACAATATATATAATTTACATCGCGACTATTAAAAATAATATACAGATATACATATATAAATACAAATCAATAAAAGAATACAAATACTTAATACCAAATTTATCAACAACATAATAAATTTTACTAACTTGCATTATACAATTTCTTTTTGTATTCAAATTAAAACAAATTCTTTCTTTTTTTGCTAAACACTATATAAATGATTCATTTAAATTTAATTAAATAAGAGTTATAGAATTTTTACTCACCTTTAATGGATTCGGATGGAAGTGGTCGCTTATTATTGTTGTTAAAAACTGAAGTAGAAGGTCCAGGTTGTAAATCTGGAGCTGGAATTTTGTTCCTGTTTACAGGTTTTTTCTTTAAATATTGTCTCTTTTGGGGCTTTAAAAAAATTAATTCAAATTTATTAATTGAAAAAAAAATCACAGATTTAATCTTTTACAAAACTATTGCATAAATATTGAAATTCGAAACATAAATAATGATTATCAAAATTTAAACATGCAATAAATTCACAAAATAACTAATTTATTACTATTAATATACATCATATGTAACAGAAGCTACATGATGTATTATGAAAATGGCTTTGGACACAAATGTTCATTTGTAGCAAGGTCCTTAGGGACTCGCAAAAGATCTCCTCCACAACGGGCACCTCCATGACACTATGCAAGCTAGCAAAATTATAACGAAACTTTAAATACAGTAGAGAACCATTTATCCGGTATCCAGATAACCGGGAAACCAGAAAACGGGGAAAAATTTTGCTCGATTTTCCCGCCATTTTAATCTAGAACGAAAAAAGTGGAAATTGGACTCATCCTTGAAGTTGAGTAGAGGAAAAATGTAAGGAAGGGGAAAAATTTTTTCCCCGTTTTCCCAGAGAAACGTCATTTCCTCCGTGACCTTGAAGGCAGGGAAGGGAGGAATGTTTTATTTTTTTCTTTAGGCCGTCAATCAAACTCAAGGGTGTGGCATGCTGATTTCGTTTTCTGCCTGATTTACGAGGGGGGTGGGAAAAATGCATTGCAAGCATATCAGTGAACAGAAAAAGAAAAGAGAAAAATATATTTATTTGACATCGACTAATAAAAATAAAATCTTTTTCTTTTGAATAAATTCTCATTCTTTGGAAGTGCGGTATCAATTGCAAGTTTTTCTTGGTGTGGAATCACATCTGCTGTAATTAAAAATCTTGTTTTTATCAACAAAAAAAAAAAAAAAAAAAGGAGAATTGTTTATTAATTTAAACATAGGATTATTTTATGAAGCAGATTGCAGTTTTGTTTTTCTGATTCCACTACGTTTGATTTTTTTTCTTTTCGCGATAAATTTCGCACTCAATAAATTAATTCTTTTTATTCATAAATTTTATCATTAGGTTTTTTTTTTTTTTTTTTGAATTCCGTTGATCTTGCCTTGTTCCGGGTTTTAATATTTATGCTAGTGCCTTTTTTAACTATCGTTTCGGTTCGATAATTTTCAAGTGTTTTTATTTAGATTAATAAGTTTTCCTTTTATTTTATCGTTTCCCCCCGTATAATTAGGTATGAAATATATTGCGTTATTTAATCATTGGTTTTGTTTATATTATTTAATTTAGGAATTGTAATTATTTTTAAAAAATAAATATGAGAATTTTGTATTTTTTAAACTTGATTTTCTTGTCTAAACTTGCAAATTTTTTTATTCTTTTAAATGTTATATTTCTACCATTTTTTTTTCTTTTTAAAGTTAGGAGTACCTTTCTTTTTTCTCTTACTTTATGCATTATGTTTTTTCCTTGTACTTCGGGTTCGATAAAACATTGATTAACGACACTTTTTGGTCGATCCAGAAAACCGGGAAATTCAGATATCCGGGATAGCGATGGTCCCGAGCATCCCGGATAATTGGTTTTCTCTACTGTATATATATCCTAAGTAATAGCCTTGATTGTTCAAATATAACTCTTCTTGTTTTGAATTTCTTTGTTTTTGTCAATCAATAGATAGAAAAATTATAAATGTGAATATTAATAAATTGAAAAAGATACATAGAATTCATATTTTAAATAGGAACTAGCTTTAAATAAAAAGGGGCCTAGAATTCTGGAGGTCCTGGTTCCTTATGACCCATAGTTTCCAAAGTTTAATGGAATCAATGTAATATAATTATTTTGTAATAAATAACTTTCAATAATTAATCACAATCATTTAGATGATTACAGAGAATACACTTTGACTGCTTGGAATATTTATTGAAATTTAGGTTTGAGCAGTATTATGTCATAAATGGGATTTCAATTTTAGAAACTTTATACATTGTTAATTGCTAGTAAGTTCTAGTAAAAAGAAAAGAAATTAAAACAAAATGAAAAACCTTGCATTGACTTTTAAAAATAAAAAATGATAAAAAGACATACTAAAAAAAAAGATTGCAATTTTTACTAACTGGGAAGCAAAACCAAATTATTTACCGGCATAGTAGCAAGCTTGGCTGCTGCAGCAGCTAAACCAGTTTCAATAGCTTCTTTTCGAGTGCCTTCTCGGACTGGACGTTCAGGTTTTGGACAGTTTGGTACCAATTTTGCTACAAATGTAATGACATAAAGAGAATGTAATTCAATATACAAAATCTTTTCCTATTGCATATGCGAGAGAAAAAAAAAATTTCTTCTTAACACAAATAAATTACCTTTAGGATTCCAGGGCTCATCTCGCCTGTTTCGACCTCTAGGCTTAAATACATGACATTCATCATCAGAACCTTCTAAGCCCAAATAAACTGGAAAGATATAAGTAAGGACAGGAATGATGAAAATAATTAAAAAGAATAAATAATGTCAAGCTGAGGATTGAAAAGTTATTATGAAGAGTTTTTCTAATATTATTTATAAATATTTTTTAATTTTTTTCTTATTTAAGTTTAAGAGATAACCATTTAATCAGTTTTCTTTTTACAGTAAATTGAACATAAAAAATAGATTTTCATAGACCGACAAAAAGCATCTATACTCAAGGGTCTTTATAAGGCTCACATTTTATTGGGATGTTTCGTTATAATAAATACAGTTAAAACTGGTTATTACAGCCCTGATTTAACAAGATCCCAGTTTTTGCAAGAGCAGGGAAATTTTTAATAAATGTTTGTTAAAAACTACATAAAATAGCATAATAACAAGCAGAACTTGGATTTCAAGGGGAATTTTTCATTAATTTTAAGAAAATTATTTTATTTATTGGCTTATATTGATTATATAAAATTATATTATATTGATTATATCCATTATATACATTAAAATTAAGTATTATATATTGAATTTTGTCAAGTATTATTAAGTAAGTATTACCACAAGGGATCGTTATTGTGCAAACCTGTGAAACACGAGACATTGCACAATATAGAATTTTGTGTTACATAGATCAATTCACATATCATTAAGCTTACTTATTAAACATTGCAATTTCTATCCGAAAAACATCAATATTTAAATGCTTTAAAAAATTTATTTTGATGTAAATTACTTAAAAACATGCACTTAAGTATTTTGAATTTACAGGGGGAAAAATTTAAATTATCAACAATATTAGGAAAAAAATGTCCATTTTATTTGCTTTAGAGATAGTCACTTTAAGTAAAAACTTTTTTTTATAATCTTTGAACAGTTAATGGCTCTGTCTCAGGGAAAGAAATGTCTTCAACTCGTTTTTTATCGTTAGCATACGGTAAATTATTGTAGTTTCTTTTGTGGAGAATCATTGTTTATAGAATTGCATCATCTAACATACAAGTATTATTAATAAGCTTTAAAAAATTGAGGAAATAAATATAAACTATACTTACTGTAGTCACCCTCTTGGTGGCACTGTTTCAATTGTTCTTCAAACTCATCCACTTCTTCATCACAATTATTACTGTACCTTGATAAACCTAAAGTAACTTTAGCATTTCTTATTGGTGGGCTGGATTTCCTAGCTAATATAGACAAATTAGCAAGAGAACTGTCCATATGTGGCATCACTGATTCAGAGCCATAATTTTCAGTTTTAAGAGGAGGATGCAATCCCTGTAATGCCATCTCCGAGGGATCACCTTGACTAGGAAATCGAATTGCCCCTTTACTCATTGACAACATTCCTTGAATGGCATCTCTAGTTGAAGGTTCCAGCTGTGTTTGTCCGCCACTGAAATTTGAAGAGAACTTAATCAAAAAAACTTTCAATGCTGGTATATTAAATCAAATCTTACAATGTTGACAAGAATAATTTAGTGTAGTAATTTTAAAAATGTATAATAGAAATAAGCTATTAATTTAATTGTTGATTTAGAACTGAGTTTAAAGTAACATCTGCATACTTTCATGCAACACAAACTAGTTTTTTTTATTTTATTTTCATTTAACGCTAAAGAGAAAAGTGCATTCAGAAAAATTCTTAACATTTCAGCAACAGATATCACTGTAAAAAGAATAAAATATAAAATGCATATTACATATAGATATTAAAAAGAAAGTTCATTGCTAAACGTTTATTTGTCATCACTTAGCAATGGACATTTTACAGCTTATTCGAAGTAGAGATTACAACCGCAAAATCCAGAATTGGCCATGCTGTAAAATATATAATTATTACATATTCGAGTTAAGCTAATCAAAAAATGTTGTAAACAAAGTCTGGTTTCAAAGAAAAAATAAAAGCAGCATTTCCATTTAAGGTTATGGGATCTTTGTACAAAGAAAGGGAATATGCCTAGTGATTTATTTAATTTCAAAATATTATTGTTGCTGAAGATCTATGTTGCTTACTGTTTTGTGTGATCTGTTTTGCTTACAAATAGTACAAGTAGACTAGAAAAACAGGCATTAGCATGCGAAGTGTCATATATATAATAAGATTAAGAATATTATTTTGAATAATGTATTAATAAAAGCTAGTTTGAAAATAGATGTAGAAAAGTAAACAGTTATTGTTTATTATTTTTAATATAATTTAAGGACAGAGTAAAAGAGATTCCTTTGAAAGGAAAATATTAATTTCACTGAAATATAAAAATAAAAAAATTACAAAAATGTGTTTCAAATTCGATAGTGTAATTAATTTCTCAAATAAACATGAAGCACGTAAAAATTTGCAGTGTTTCTCACTTTAGTTCAACATCATCCAGGCTAGCACTGCTTTCACCATCTACTGCAAGACCAGTTGCCACTAACAGGTCATCAATAGTTGCATTTTTAGGAGTTTCAGCATTACTGTCATCTTGTGGAGGTGACAATATACTGCCCGGATTAAAAGCATCTAAGCCTTTGCCATTAACTATTAAGAATGAAGAAAATCAAATTACCAATAAAAAAAATCAATGAAACAAAACAAAGTGAAAATAATAAAGTTTAAACATTACAAATTAACAAAATTAACCTAAGTAAATAAAAAAACAGTAGAACTAAAATAATAATGAATAATCTACACCAACTGAAAACTTCATACAATGATAATAAAAAATATTTAACAAAAAACTCTTAATTGCATTTTAAAAAAAGCTTTTATAAGTTCTGGAAGAAATAAATAAAATTTATTTTGATAATTATATTTTAATGAAATAAAATATACCTCGAGCTTACATAAGCTACAGATCGAAATCTGCTAACTTCAGAAACTGAAGCATATTATTTATGTATCAACAAGATAACATGGCTACAACTAGATTATAAATTGAGTAAAACAAAGGACACATTATTAGAGTGAGTATTTTATACTTACTGCAGTGCTAACATTTAGGCACAAAAATAAAACAGTTAATAATAAAAAATTTAAAATAAAAATTATTATTTGGAAAGAGACTGAAACATCATACTTACTGCACAAAAATAAAACAGTTAATAATAAAAAATTTAAAATAAAAATTATTATTTGTAGAGAGACTGAAACATCATTTAAAAAGCACCAGATTCAGAATGATATTCTGGAATGATATCATCAGTAAGCTCTTTTGAAATGGATCATTATCATTGGCTATTGCTCCATAATGAATTATAATTAAAAATTTGCCAAGGTTAGCAATAAAAAAAAAGCATTATTTGGCAAACCCATTTGAAAATAGTATAAACTGACTAATCTTGCCAAAAGGATAATTAAAAACTTTTCACCAATGCACTCAACAAACTTGGTTATTTGCTTATGATCTTGTTTTGATGAACTAATAATAAACTAGTGGGGGCAGATATGAAGCAAATAAAAATTCTTATTGTACATAAAAATATTAAATAAGAAATGTTGGGGGTTAGAAAGCAATAACAAATCCTCTAGTTCAATAAAGTTTGTTAAAAAAACATTAAGTTTTAGTATTAAAATACATAGCGTGAGTTAGCTTCCTTAATTTAAGAGTAAAAAAATAAGGTTTTAAAAACATACATGATAAACGTAATCGAAGTGCACTGGATTGCATATCTGAATAAGCATCTTGAGCAAATGGATCTTTCTTAAACTCTTTTCTTTTTTTATTATTGGTTGGATTCTCATCAACTACCAAGTTATCGTCATCGGAATCAACAAAATCGTAAACAGAGTCTTTCTTTAAGGAAAAGTTATCTTCTTTGCTACAAGAGAATTAATACCAAATATTGAAACAAAATTCAAACAGATTAGTCTTAAAATAACAGTTTAATAAACAAAATGAAAATAATAAACTAAACAGAAGTTTTTACAACCAGGTGAATTTCTTAAAAATTACAAAAATATCTTTACTAGCTATAAGTAAGTTAATTCAAAATGTAGTAAATTTTTAAAGGGAAAGGTATTTTAAGCTTTATGCATATATTTGATAGTTAAAAATGGGTAACAGTATCAACTACTAGAATTATATTTTTAAAAAAAAAGTCAATTCAAACAAACTAGGAATGTGTTTCATAAAATATATAATCCAAAACAAAATATATGAGGCACTGAAATTCATCAGGAATCCTAAACAACATGCAAATAATAGATTCTATACAAACATTAATATATAAACCTTGTCATCATAAAAACAAAATAATATAGTTCGATTTTGATATTATTAAAATAAACTAGTAACAAGGTTTTCGGAGATGTAGTAAATGAAAATCAGTTTGAAACAACAACATTCTATTTAAGGGTAAAAATAATAATTTATTAACATGATCTCCAAAATAGGTAACTGTTCTTGCATGCAAATTTTAAACATAGTAACTTGATTTTATTATTTTACAACCTATAAGGACATATCAATTATTAATTAATAATAAATTTAATGCTATATCAATAAGGAAAATTATTTAAAAACACTCATTTACACTGTTTAAAGTTCCCTTCCCCAAAGCTAATTATATTAAGAATAATTTTCTACATTTAGTAAATGTGATATTTAATTTAAATTATATGTCATTTTTATGCTTAGTAAATAAACCTAAAATTATCTTTTTCTAATAACTTACTCGGGTAAACTAAATTTATTAATATTTCAAAACAAAATGCAAACTACTAAATTACTAGTAAAATTTTAATTATCAATACACATAAAAGTTTAACCCACTGTTTGTATCATATATGAAAAAATAGCACTCACCATGCTATTCCAAAAGGAACAGATAAAGTTCTGTTAATAATCGAACCATCTTTCATGGATGAGGCCTCCATTAGAGAATTCAGATCAATGTTCATTTTGTCAAACATAATTTTTGAATCCTGTAAGTTGAATTGCAATCCAGATGATTGAGCTTGATTAAAATTTAAGCCATCATAAAAATTATCAGAATTTGGCAATGTTTTTGATGTGAGCGAGAATTTTGATACAAGATCCAGGTTCTTTTCAGATTCTGTAGGTGCCTAAAATATTTTTAAAAAACACTAAGTTAAGAATCATACAAAACAAGTTAAAAGTTGTTTAGGTTAAATTTTAAGCCATATTTGAGGCATTAAATTCATATTCCACTTATTTCATATTTGGTTAATATATGTAGTACAGTAAAAAAGTTTCCAGAATAGGTCAATTACAAATTATAAAAAAATAAATCAATAATTTTATTTTATAAGCCTTCAAAGTACTTTAATCCTGCATCCACACACTCCTTCCAGCATTCGTAAAACTGATTGAAACACTCCTGAAATCCATTTTTTAAGGGGTCTTTAAATTGCTTCCTCACAATTTCAATCACCTTATCTAAATCCACAAAACAGTGTTCTTTCAGTGTTTCAAGTGGAAACAAGTAAAAATCCACTGGTACTAGGTCGGAAGAATAAGAAGGGTGTTCCAGAGAGGTAATACAGTAGGGAACCGATTATCCGGAACGATCGGGACCATCGCTATTCCGGATAACTGATTTTTCCGGTTTTCTGAATCGCTACAAAAAGCCGTTTTTTTTATTATTAAACCCAACTAAAAAAAAATATATTAGGAAATAATCTTAAAAAGAAGAAAAAAACGATGAAGTAATACACTAATGATTATTTCCAAAATGATGGTAAGGTGAACATCTTTCAAAAAAGAAAGAAAAATCCTAAAATCTTATGAGGGAAAAAAAAATTATTTTTTTTAAAAATGGTGGGAAAATTTATCGAATTTCGTTCCGGTTTTTTGGCTTTCCGGTTTTCTGATTTCCGGATAACGGGTTCTATACTGTACTGTGACTGTCCAGATAATTTTCCTGATCAATGTGCGTCGGGGAGCATTGTCGTGTAAAAGAAACCAATCATTTGTAGCCTATTTTATAGGTTGTTTTTGTCGGATTGCATGGCATACTCATTTAAGGATTTTCAAGTAAGGCTTGACCTTCAGGAATACACTGGCTGTAAATGACGCTCTCATAATAAAAAAACACCTCCAATATCACTTTTCCTTGGTTTCCGTCGAAGTCGAATTTATCCTTTTTTGGTAATGTTTTTGCCTTCCATTCTCCTGACATGTTTTGTCAGAGAGTTGGTAGAGAAAGCACCATGTCTCATCACCTCTTAAGATTTTCCTTGAGAAGCTGTTATCTTTATCAGCCATGAAAATAAAATCCCTGCACATGTTCACTCTCATTTCTTTTTGTTCAATAAATTTGTGATAAATTTTTTAGAACCATGTGCTACAAATGAAAATTCCAATTCCATGTGAAATTCCAAGTTCAGAGGCAATAGCAACAATGGATAATCGCCTATCCGCATGCACGATCTCTCGAACGCGCTCAACATTTTCATCTGCTAGGGAAAGCATCCTATGAAGAGGAGGGACACTCAGTCCAAGGATCATCTTCGATGTTTGTGTGACCTAAATGAAAATGCCTATGCCACTCGTAGAAAGCAGTTTTTTATGCCATTATTTCCATATGCTTTCTTCAGCATATCGCTTGCCTCACAAGGAGATTTCCTGAGCAAAAAAGCAGAATTTAATGCTTGCACGCTGCTTTAAAGACCTCAAATCAAAGTCTGACAAATGAAAAATTCCCTTTGTCAGAAATTACCTGCAGATAACACTAGAAATGAATTCCAGATAACTGTTTGTTTTTATTATTAGTGCTGCCAACCTCTAAAAAAAATTTCACCTCCAACGAACTCCTGTGTGAATGTAGATGACTATTCCGGGAATTTATTGACTCTACGTTACTTAATCTTCTATCAGCTACTACTAAAAAAATTACAATAGCAATTCACTAAATTTTTTTATTTATAATAAAAGATTATTTTTTTATAAACAGAGTTTATAATAAAACATTTTTTTCTTTTTACCTTTATCAATAAAATATTAAAGAAGATTTATAAAAAAATTAATCAACACGTATTTATTGCATCAAATTGTATAAGAGACTTATTTAAAAAATTTATTTTCATTTTTAGTATATTAATAAGTGGTAAAATTATTATAAAACGTAATAGCATTTTTTTGCAAAGGAAGAAAATAAAAATACATAAAATATACTTATTAAATTCATACATTCACAAATTTAATCAAATAATATTTTCTAAACAGCCTTCACTTAGTTATTTATTATTCTTATGAGCTCTGCTTAACACTGATTGGCAAGAAAGGAGCTCACAGAAATTCACTGCCCATATGATATAATTAGCATTTGATATCTATGAAAGGCTATAAAACTTGTTGAAGCTATTTAATCAAACTTTTTAAAAAAGGGTTTAAAACAATTCCAGAAAATTTCACATAATACATGAGAAATAGCATAATATCAAAAGCTATATCAGAATGAGAAAAATAAATAAAAGAAATTAAGTTAATAAAAAGTGATATTAAAATCAAATAGGTTAAAAAGGAAAAGAAATTATAGAATAAATTGTAATTTAATTAAAACTATTCAGAGGGAATAAATAACAATTTATTTCTACATATTTAAAATAACACGTTAAAGATATTACAAGCCATATATTAATAGGCAATAGGTGATCATGTATAAAAACATACAAAAACAAATAATTTTAGCCAGAAAACTAACATATATTAATTCTAAAATTTTTTATGTAATATTATTAACTTTATATATATATATATAAATNATATATATAGTAAAGACAAGTAAATTAGTTAACTTAATCAGTTAACTTAATTTTAATCTGTTTAGCTTATTAATTACAAAATTTTGAAAAAGGTTTAGATATACAATACACACTTGATAGTATATTGACTTACCAGTGGTCAAGATTAATCAGGTAAATGTTAAGTAAAATTGCTTAAGAAATATATAGCTATACAAAAAAAATTAAATTGTAAAATAAATTTTAAAAAATGATTGACCATTAAATATATTTTTTACAAAGAAATATAAGACAATTTTAAAAATAAAACAGAACAGTGTTGCAAATACATTTATTGAAGTTCACTAACAAATTTGGCATTTGAGAATTCACTAGCCCTTGGTAAAATGAAACTACTTAAACTAAATTTTCTTAACTTAAATGCCACTCAATGTTTATGAAGTTTTAACAAAACTCAATGTTTTGATATTGACATTTTTATAGTATTCAAAAACTTGCATGTTTGATTACGTGTCAAAGAAGTACAATAAAATTTAAAATGTCAATCATTTTCTTTAGATATGAACAAATATAGATATATGCAAATGGAAATTCTCCAACTAAACAAGTAAATTTTCCTTCAACTGATTAGTAAAGCAAACTTTTTATTGTTATAAAAAAAAATTATGAAAAACGTACCATTTTCATGACATTTTCAGCACGTTGTACTGGTTCCTTACGTCTTTGGCGCAAAGGTGCCTTCCTTGTAGCCACCAGAGGATTTTTACTACTGGAGTATTTCTAAAACAACCACCATAATTAAATCAGAAAAGTAATAAATTTTACAAACTTAAGCAAAATAAAACTTCCAACACCACAAAAAAAAGATACTTTTCATTTTCCGAGTTTCTAGATTAAAAATTCCCCAAATTTTTACTAAGTTATACATCAGAAGATTTTACAGATATACACATAGATATGATCTTTTCAGTTGATACAGGAAACACTAGAGATTTTAACAACATAAGAGCATTAATAAAAATTAAGAACCTAATAATGTAAGCTATATTGATCAATAGAAAAGATTATTTCAAAAAAAGAAAAACATTCCAGGAGAATTTCTAGATTACAATTTGAAACTATTAATTTTGAAACTATTCCAGAGGATTGTGATGCATACACAGTAATGTTTTTAAAATTATAGTGATATTAAAAAAGGAAAGATTTAAGCATCCCACCCTCATTTTTTTTTTATGCACATTCTGGATGAGTAAAAAGGACACCATTTCTAAAAGCTTCAAAGATGGTTTATCAAACTATGCCAAAAGATTTGCCATGCAAAATTTTCCAAAACATTTGTTGTTTAAAGAAAGATTTTTTAAATAGAGTTAGTAGTACAGATGTGTTCATATTATTTTGTCACTGATCTTTATATTGCATCTAATAAAGTACTGATTTTATAATAAAAAGGCTATTTAAATGTGGACCGAAATTTTGATTTCAGTAGCTTCAAAATTAAAATAGTGATAAAAAAGTTGTCCACTATTATTGTTGCTTAACTATTGTAAAAGAAGTAGAATGTCATAATAGATAAATAACTTATGAAGTAAAAAAAATATCTTTAAAGAAATTGGAATGTTCTGGTAAAATAGATAGGAGCTTACACCTATACCAATTTTATAGCATGAAAGTGCCAGTTCTATGTTAAGTGAAAGTTTTGTGCCATTTGTGAGCTTTTAATGCTCAATTAGCACTCATTAGACTGTTAATGTTTTACTTTCTTATTTATTTTAGTTTGAATTATCTATATCCACTTGAGTTTGCATAGCGTAAGTATGGAAGTACTTGAAGTCTTTTGCCACTTATCTTTATATAATATATCTATATATATGTATACTAATCTTTACAGAACCTATCTATACATATTAAATACAAATCTTCTTATTAAAAAAAATAAAAAATAAGTCATATATACCTCAGCTACTCTAACTTCCCTTTGTAGGTCTTTGATGAGCTTTGTAACATTTATTCCAGGAGGGACATCATCATGTTTATGATTCTAGAAACAAAAAATGATAGGTTTTAAATTACATAAGACTCTTGTTTGCACTCACATTTAAAATGAAATCTAGTGATTTATTCAGCAAGATTTCATTTAAAACCATTTACTTACTTGACTATCTGAACTCCATATTTTCAGAACTGATACTAATGCTTTGGCTCCAGAAACTAAATGAGTTAATTCTCTTTTACTCACATTATTATCTAAAGAGATAAAAAAAAAATATTTCCTAAATTAATAAATCATTTTATTAAAATGACATGAAAAATTCCAATTACATTCAAAACCTTAATTCATATTAAATAAATAATTTACAACACAAAAGTAAATTTGTAATAGAACAAATAGAAGTCTAATAATTTATTCAACTGTTTCTGTTACAAATCTAACAGAAATCTAAACTTTTCTGACTGATTGGAAGAACAAAAAAAAAATATACAAATTTCTGTTCACATCCTTCTGAGATTTTAATTTTAATAGTTTGGGAAGAGGCAGCTTAAAGAAGATAAGACTAAATATGCTTTTTTTTTTTAAATAAAATAAGAAATAATAATAATAAATGGAAAAAATATAAATGCCCTTTTATTAAATAAATACAATTATCCCATGATTTCTTTTAGATACAATTTAGATACAATCTTAGAAATCCATTTTAATTTTTGGATTAATGTGTTTTTCCTTTAAATATTCAATTATTACTGGTTCAAAAAAAAATGTTTTTTACATTAATAATAATGCTACTTATGTTAAATTAGATTAGCAAAAATTGGAGTTGAAATGCCTTCATAATGCCTGGTACTTCATAATATCATCGAAAATACAAACTTTTTTATTGATACAGCAAAACTTCTCATGAAATAAAGAGTAAAAATATTTAATAAATTTCTACTTCATAACAAATTCAAAATCCAAAAAAAAAAAAAGAAAGAAATTTTTTTTTATTCAAAGCAAGTTTAAACTACACCCTTTTTTTCTTTCAAAGTAAGGCATTTTAAGAATAAAATAACACAACTTTAAACATTTTTAATGATTTTTATCCTGCTATAATCTTGAACAATTTAGAGCATAACATAAACTGAAGCAGAAATTACTAAATAGCTATAAATAGTAATTATTTCCATACAGAGGTGTTAAAAGTACATGGCAAGATATAAAATATAACGAATAAAAAAATCAATTAAGGCTTGTTTTATAAACAGCAAGTTCTTTTAAAAAAAATTGTCTTTGGCAAACAAAGGCCAAAATTGGCTCATTAATGAATCATGTTAATTAGCCTATAAATTTAATAAGATTGGTACAACCCAGCCAAACCCCCATATGGGGACCATAGATGAGTGCTTCCGTTTAACAAAATAATCCAAACAGCACAAGCTAACAGATCAGCACAACTGCAGCATAGTAGGGTGGAACAAAAACCAATTACCATGAACTGCAAAGAACAACAAATTGACAAACAAAGAAGCTCTATAAAGTTTCAAGGAATTTGGGGTAATTACTGGTAGACAATAATTTGAAATGGACAATACAACAAATAGGTAGACAATAAAATAGACAATACAATAAATAGGTAGTAAACTATAAGAGTAATAACTATGATGAATATTTAGAGAAAATAACCTTTTAACTGATCTAAAATATGTGGTGCTGCAAACCAATGAACAGTCTCAAACGTTGGGAACTTGTATTTTTCAGGAGTATTTATCCGTTTCTCCATCTCATGAATACTGAAAAATTCAAATAAAAAACAATTTTTTTTAAAAAAATGACTAACCATTAAATCAAAAATCAGTAATTATATAAATTAAAAATATATAGATTACTGTAGCTGAAGTGGTATATTCAAGCTGTGTAAAAAATTGCCCCCAAACACTAGAGAGTCTACAGGTGTTAAAACTGCGTGTATCCATCCAGTTGGTATAAAGAGTGTCTGCCCATGAGTTAGAAGCATTTGGTAACAGACATCAACCTGATCACCGAAAAAGGTTTCACTCTGATTAGATGAGGCCATCCAATGTTCATACAATGCTAAATTGGCAGGTGTAGGCTGTATAAGAAAAAATACCTTTTCTCCCTAAAAATAAAATACTTAGTAAATAGTTAGATTAAGAACAACATGTATCATGTTACTTTTTTGCTGCAAAACTGATTAAGAAGAAATGATTAATTTCCTTTCATAATAAAAAAAAAAAATAAAGTATCTAGTTAACAAAAGTACATTAAAATAGCAGTGTTTATTATTTTTAACAAATTTTAAGAGAAAATTTAATAAATCTGATATATATTAAAATAATAATGCAGCTTCTGTTGATTTTTAAACTTGCCAATAAGTGGAATTAGCTGATTATTGTCATCAAATTCCATTTCACCGAATCACTAATATATAATCACATTGAAATTTTTTGAACATATGAATCAAAATAATTAGATTAATCAATAAAATAAATTAAAAAAGAAAACAAAATTGTTAATTGTCATAGTCAAAGTACGCAAATCAATGCTTAAGAACTATTTTTTAAGAAATAAATTAATCAAGGTCTCAGTTTTGTTTACTCACATAAAATAGTTTCAAACACATAACAGAAAGAAAGGTTGTATTGAAATTTGTTGGAATACAAAAAGAACAAATGAATGCGAATATATTTATTTTGAATAAAAATAAGAATTATTTAGCATAATATTTTAAATTCTCTGCCTACAATGGTATTATAAGTTTTTTTGTTCACTTGCTCAAGAAATTAAACAGAATCGATAACAAAAAGCACTTAAAAAACTTTATTTAAAAGAAAAAACAACTTTTTGAAGATATCTTCCAAAATGCAAATGAAAAAAAAAAAAATCTTCTAGCAACTGGATTATGAGTAATAATTGAATCATAGAGATAAGAAAACATCAATATTTCTAGAAAACAAAAAATGCAGGAAAACTGAACTAAAGGAAGTAAATTTAAAAAAAAAAGTTAAGTTAAAGCACCACCTAATCTCTAATCCACTGTGATCTTCAAAATTAAACATTTTATGTTACCTTATTAAAATAAAAAAAAAGTTAATTATTTCACTTTCAAAGGGCAAAACCCTCACTTTCAAAGGGCAAAACCCATCTTCTTATACCTATGAGGCACACTAAAAGTGACATTCACTTAAGTAGTTTCTCACAAAGCATACTTAACTTCAAAATATTGTTTATTGGATACAGAAAATTTCAACTTCAAATTCTGAGGGGAAATAAGCGATCTTTTGTTTCATAGTGCTGTTTGGCTTCATTAATTTTTATAATTTTTATTGGAAAGTACAGTAGAGTCTCGATAATTCGAGATGGATGGGACCAAGCCAACTTCGAACTTTTGAAAACTCGTATCATCGAAAACTTAAAAATTAATAAATGTTTAAGCAAGAGGGAAATAAAGCAACTTTTAAATTTCAGTATTTAATTGAAAAATATATTATATATAAAGTGAATTTATTTACATTAGGGGGTCAGAGTACATTTACTGCATTACATCAAGTTACAATATTCTATTACTGCATCAGGTAAATTGTATTTTAAAATAATTTTCCAATGTTTTTTGTTTAAACACACTATTCACATTCTTCAGTGTTTAACACATAATATTTAGTTTTCAACTTCTAGACATAGTAATCGTAGTAAAACCAACCACAGTAATCATTTCACATGTTGTGTATGAGCTGGTCATTATTTTGGAGTAAGACAGATTTTTTTCACTAGCTCAGATTTATAGGAAATTTTAACAATCGCGACTATACTGTAAAAGACAGTGAACAATGAAAAATAAACAAGAATCTACAATAATATTACAAATTCTACAGATTTCTATAACTTACTCGTAAAATATGATACCAAACAGATGTACCACCAAAATCAATATGAAAATCCGTATAACTGTCTTGAGCACTCATAAGGCAGTACTTCATCACTTGAGGACAAAATGGAGTATGTGTTTCAGAATTTTTTGGCCAGTAATTTTCTACCCAACTGAGTTTTTGAACAATGGTAGGAGGTTTTATCAATTCTGCTAATCTAAAATGATAATAAAAGCATGTGAAATATACAGCTTAAAAACAATTTTAAATTTAAGAAACTACTTTGAAAAGATTAAAAATTTAAAATATGGTGATGAGAGTAAATTGATTACGATTACAAGCCATAGCGCGTCAAGCACCCCTAACGTAGAGGGGATACAAAAAATAAGTCATGATACCTTGCTTGGGATGGGTTATTCTTGAGTGCAGATTTGTAAAGGCAAAATTGAATAAATAATTAAACATATATAAAATCAAAAAAATAAATACATCTATAACAAATTCTTTTTTTAGTTATTAAACGCTAAAAAAGAAAATTAGAATAATTCTGAGTATCAAACTACATTGCTGCTTTTTCCAGATTCAGTGTGTTTAACCAGTCCTAATTAATACACCTAGATAATTTAAATAAAAAATATTTGATTTGAAATTATTTGCTTTGTCTCCAACAGATAAAACAAAATTATGAATGTAAACGTTAATACAGTCAGACCTCGATATAAGGTTTAAGGGACATCGCAAAGGTGACCTTATAAGCAGGGAGACCTTTGAACCTATTCATTAGCAGTTCGCAACTAAGCGCGTAAATAGTACACTGTATGATTTTTTTAAAATGGTACTACAAACGATCGGCCATAAATTAAATATTTAAGTCAATAAATTTTAATAGAATTAGCAAAAAATTAAAGGAAGTTAGGTTTTTAGCAAAAAATTAAAGGAAGTTAGGTTTTTAAATTTTTTTTAAATTTAAAATAAAGCTGTTTACAAATTTCCTCAAAGTGTACATACATACATTACATCTTACTTTATTTAAAATAATCATTTATGCAGGTCTGTCTCGTTTTTGGTTTCATTTTTCGAACAATGTTTTCTAGATTTTGTAACTTCTCAAAATGTTCCTCAGCTCCCACATGGTTTGTAAAAAATTTTCGCATGACATTTGTTGCATTGAAGGCTTCCACTTGGGTTACAGCTACAGTCTCAGGATCACTGTTATTAATCACTGTCCACAACTTGTGAAACAATTTCAGAAATTATAGCTTGTTCATTGGCTGTAACATTTTCATAGAACTCAAGAGGGGTAATTGCCTTGTAAGGATGTTAAATAGGCTTTTGTCAGAAAAGAGCTCGCCTCAGATAAAAGGACCTTATAAGCGATAACGATTTTTGAAACGTGACCATATATCCGGTAATCTGTAACAAAGAATTCCTCTTCAGTGAGCCAGGACTTTGGAAAAGTGACCTTATATGGGGGTGACCTTATACCGAGGTCTGACTGTATATGAATAAAGAGGTAGAGAATTCATATTTTAAATTAAATAGAGGCATACTCTTGGTAAAAAGGGATCCAGAAATTTAGAAGTCTGGGGTCTTAAGTGCCTATAATTTCCAAAGTCTAGTTGAATCAATGATAATTGATATTGATATGATAATTGATTTACATGCTATTTTATAAGAGTAATTGGAACTGTAATAAAACAGCATGCAAATACAAGAGAAATGTTACCGATGTTTAAATTGATCTTAAACTTAGAAGTCTTAAAAATATTAAGTTCATACATTTTAATTTCATTAAATTTACATTAAAGTAACTGACAAAAACCATAGAAAACATGAGTTTTTTTTAAAAAAAAAGAAAAAAAAGCTAATTACTAACAAAATACAAACCTTGTTTTTGAAAATTCTAAACTTATTACATTATAAACTTTGCTTCGGATAGGATTATTAAAATATTCAACCCACTCTGACATAGGCATTCGGATATTATCTTGTCTGGCTACATCTATCACATCTAATGGAAAATTAGGCCCTAAAAAATCACCAATGTTAAAACCAAATTTGCAGGACCATTTGAAAAGCAGAATTATTTTTATACAATAAAATACACAATTTCCACAAATACTTTTAAAAATGTCATGTTTTAAATAGTATTTAGAAACATGCATGCATTAAAATGTATAGACATTATACAAACATTCTTATAAATTAATACATCATATACCTGAAGTAGGTAAACAAAATTAGAATTTTAAATTTTCATCAACTTTTTAATTAATCCAATAAAACAATTTTATCACAAAAAATTTAAGTTTAGGAACCACGGCAATTATAAATTAATTTAAAAGCAAAACGCTGATAAGTTAACTATCAGAAATAGCTAATGGAGGTAGAAAAATTAATATGGTTAAAAAAAATGGGAGAGAAGATGTCTTTATATATATATGAATATATAATATTTAGCTGGAAAATTATAAATCGAAAAGTGAGCACACTTTTTGTTTAAAGAAATTTGTTTTATAATTCAACAAAATAAAAGTTTTCTTTTTTAAATTTGAATTTAAAGCTGTCAAATATACTCAAAAGTATGCATAGAAATAATTTAAAACACAGCAATCCAATTTTAGATTCCCTTTTATTATTTTTCATTTTTAAATGCTGGGACATTATGGTGTTTCTTTCATTAATTATGAGAATAAAAACCTGTGAAAGAATCAAAATCAGAATTCTATCTGTAGATAATTACCATATAATTTCCTTAGTCCTTAAAAGATGGCAAGACCATGTAGAAACATCGATTGGAGAATTTGAAATAGTTGGAGTCTTTGAATATGTCATCTTTAATATTATTTTACCAAAATACAGTTCGATCTTTACATTGTTTAATTACACCTATTTTATAGTTATTGTTTTTTTTTTAAGTAACTGTAGAAAACTTCGAGCGAAGAAAGAGAAAATTATTAGTAAAGCATGTGAATTATTTAATTTAAATAAACATTGCACACTAATTGCAGTTAACATTTGATTTCATTTATTTATTTGATATTTTCAGAAATTTAAAATGAAAAAAAAATTTGCATCAAAATTTTTAGTTTTAAAATTTTAATACTTTGACATACTTAAATTTCTCCCTCTAACAAAATTTAAAAAAATTAAATATATATATTNATATATATATATATACTTGAAGGGAAGAAAATTGCTTCTTACCAACATAGTCCATAACATCACTAACAGTGAATGTATCAGATGGCATTTGTATTCCTAAGCCAACTTTTGAATCCACCAAAATAGGTTTACTGAATCCATGTTGTATTAAATAAGGAAGCGAAAGTTGAGGACCTCGAAGACGTATAATCACTTCCTCTGCACTATAAAAGAAATTATAATTCATATAATAATTCAATGCTAACACTTTGAATATTAACCTTGACAACCACCGATACATAGAAATCCTAAAAACATTCTAACTTTTAGGCTTAAAAAAAGTAGGTTAAATTTTACCAAAACACTGAGCGATACGCAATTTTTTTTTTTAAATATGATTAAGCATTTGACTCTTGAACATATATATAAATATTACAGATTTGAACAATTAATAATTTCAAATGACTTACAATAAAATGTAATTTCATTGTAACCTGTAAAAACGAGAATCTAGTGTTTTAATAATTGTTGTTTTGTTAAATCTTAACATTTCAATAAAAAAAAAATTCAAACAAATAATCTGATCTTTATATTAATTTTCGTTTTTTATTTTAAAATAGAATGCAAAAATTCATTACAGCAGTATATCTCTTATAATATCTTTTCTTTTACGTAAATTATGTAAATCAGGTTTCTAATAATTTTAAAACATGCCAATAATTCATAATATACCTATACAACTAACCTTTTAAAATGCCTGGATCGAAGTTCTTTAACAAAGACTGGAGTTCCTGATTGAACAGCCTACAAAATATTTAAATATAATTATACACTGATGTTTCAGAAAGATGATCAAGATCACGATTATTACAATTCAAAAGATGGTGTCAATAAATTGCTAATCACATAAACTGGTTATTTAATAAAAAAAAACTTTAAAAAAATGGATATTAGTGCTATAAATTCAGATTCAGAATTAATTTATGATTCTATAATATTGATTTTAATGGTTAAAAAAAAAAATTTTCTCCAAACAAACTTAAAAGTGAAAATCATTGGCTTTTATAGACATATTATATATTACAACTTTAAAAAAAATATCAATAATGTTTAAACAAATCAACTGAATGTTTACTGACTGCATATTAATTAAAAGAAAAAACATATGTTAATATTATAGACATTATGAAATAAACTATAAAATACTTAAAAGCAGGTTTAAAAGTTATTTCCAACAAAAGATATACAAGATTTTAATTTCGAAATTCTCTTAACACTTAGTGCAGTGCTAAATTTAAAAAAATCTTAACATATTATTTTGTTGACTATGGCTGATTTTTCAAAGAATAAAACTTGCAACCTCAAATTATTCATTTTTTCTATTGCTGAGAAAATTTTAAAAACATTTTCTAATAATTTTGTTACAATTATAAATATCGTAAAAAATCAGGACTTCCTAATTGGAAACTTCATGAAATTTTAATAAAAATTTGTAAATGAAGTTTTGCTGCTGCTAACAGCTTTGTTTAAAAATTGTGTGTGAGGATTGAATAAAACTCTAACAGCAATTTTAATTATGCTTTACGCAAAATATTGAAACTTAAAAAGGTTTTACAAATCTTCAAACCTTAGAATTACAATTTTAATAACTCACATAATAGACAAGAATAAAAATAAAATGAAAGTGATTAAATAATTATAAAACCCCGAATTGACATTTTTTTTAAAAATTGAATACGAAAATTGACATTTTCCTTTTGCTTAAACAATACATTTCAGATTTTATCAAAACAATTTTATAATATATTTAGATTTCATAACGTGAAAAAACCAATGTTTGGTAAAAGTTAATTACACATGAAAAAATTTTAATTACAGAAGTATAATAATTAAGTTTCTATTTATTATAGACAAGAATAAAAGTAAAATTAAAAGCTTTAAAATTCACAAAGATTAAGCTATGATTTCTTTTCCCCCCCTCCTCAGAAAATGGCTAGAATGAGAACATAAAAACAATAATTTTCGCTAGAATGCAAAAAGAAATTATATGTTTTCCAAATATGTTATCTCTAATATGTTTTCCAAATATGTTAAGAAGAATATGTTTTCCAAAAGTTTATCTCTGTTCAGTCTCAAAGTTTATCTCTGTTCACTTTTTTCTAAACTTTCATGTCTTCTTTCTCTTCAGTCAAGGTATAAGGGCATGGTGACAACCCCTTACATAAAAGATGATAGATCATTCCCTTCCCTCTGGACAGTCCCCTCTTAAACTCTCTATTTATATGGATTTTTAAGACAGTGGACAACTTTTTTCCCTTAGAAAACATATGGTTCTTAAACTCTTAACTCTATTTTACTTTCATGTACTATTTCTTCTTCGATTGAGTAACTAAACAACAATTAAAACAGCTTTTTTTTTTTGCATCTATTACATAATGATAGAACAGAATCATACGTTGTTTATTTGCATGACTCCCATCTTCATGGCTACTGATTATTTTCAAATGTAAATTATGTTTTTTTTTTTAAATTTCTTTACATTAATATATTGTAATTAGGTATTACATAAAAATATTCATTTATTTAAAAAAAAGTTTGTGTTTGAGTTTATGTGTTATATGTTTTCCAAGCTAAATCCATCTAAGCATTTAACTTTTTTTTTTTTTTGGTGTCTAATTTAGTTAGATATAAATTCCAGTATTACCATTTTTGCTTCTATGCCAAAGAAATGTTTTACCTTGTTCAAACCCTGAAACTTTATTAATATTAATCAAAATAAAAAACATGTTGCATAGTTAATATCAAAATATTTTAAGTTAAAAAATCAAGTTTTTAATTTTAATTATGGATTAATTATAAACACATGAATGAAATTTAAATACAAAATTGTAATACTATATTTCTAATTACCATACACTAGAATGAAAATAAAATGAAAAGCTTTAAGCTTCATCAATAAAAACAGGATAGAAAAAAACAGTGCTTAGGTAACATGAAAATTCTAAAAGTTAAAAATCAAGTTACTAACTTTAATTTTAAATGACTAGCACAGAAACCAAACTTAATACTCATAATGAAATGAATAGTAGCTTAGCCAAATAACCACATACTGAATGTTGAACTAAGCTGTAGCAAAATATTAAATCATTAATTTAAATTTCAACCAAAATAATATGTGCTGTTAACTTCATATAGTTCTCATTAAACATGCACAACATTAAAGATAGTTTACAAGCAAATTTAAACTAGTTTGAAATGTTTTATTAAAACTAAACAAGAATATTCAGTCATTAAATAGCAAAATATTTTAACAGAAAAGGTTTTGAACAGTTCAGTTTCTGCAACCATTCCTGAACTGACAGTCATTTCATCAATCAATCATTCATCACTTTCAGTAACTGATGCTTAAACATCAAACCTGATATTTGAGGCATCTTCCTCAGACTTTAACAAATCGTCATTGTTCTCATCACCATTAGCATCAAAAGATACTTGTCTGTTTTTCCCACTCTTTTAAATTAATAAACTTCAATATTTTTAAATGTCGATAAAATTTCTGAGCTATAAATGGCAGAATCTGGATCATAGACAGCTTCTTTAACTAGCAAGTTTAAAAAGTGATCTAAATAGGTATTAGTAACATTATAAAAATATTATTTGTGACGAGACAGTTAAAACAAGCTTTATAAGCAATACATTAGGGGAAATAGAAGAGGCAGGAGTGATGGTTCGAGGTTGGCTTGTTATATTAACATCAAAGTAATACTTTATACCAAGAAATGAAATTTTAGTACCAAAGATGCTAGCCAAACTAAAATATTTGCTTACTGTCATTTAATCATGAAAAATATCAATAATTCTTAAAATGTTAATAAATGTGGTATGTAGAAATTTTTGTTGACTGAAACTTTAAAAAAAAACTTAGAAATATAAAAATTTAAACATATACACTGTAATAAAAATAATACAGTAGGGAACCGATTATCCGGAACGATCGGGACCATCGCTATTCCGGATAACTGAGTTTTCCGGTTTTCTGAACCGATACAAAAAGCCATTTTAACCCAACTAAAAAAAAACAAAAATAGTTTGAAATAATCTTAAAAAGAAGAAAAAACGATGAAGTAATACACTAATGATTATTTCCAAAATGATGGTAAGGCAAACATCTTTCAAAAAAGAAAGAAAAATCCTAAAATTGTATGAGGGAAGAAAAAAAAATTTTAAAAAAATGGCGGGAAAATTTATTGAATTTCGTTCCGGTTTTCTGATTCCCGGATAACGGGTTCTGTACTGTATTAAAACGAAATAAACTTGTCTTGAGGTTTCAATGTTTTTAGAAGCTGTGCTACCATATGTTAAATAAGTAACCAGAGGTAAGCTAGCAATATTTGCTTATAACAGCGAAAAAATGCTACAGCTTGATTTCAGAACACTTTCATATACAGTGCCATTTCATTGAGGCATGATAATTTAACCGTGGAAATTTTGATTTAAAATTCTATATTTTCAAATGTGAAATTTAACCACTAGTCTTAAATATTTGATGGCTTATAGTGAGCTGGCAAGTAATAATGTCCTAACCCTTTTAATACATTAAGAAAGATACAAATGAAATAATAAAAGTATTAACATAACATATAATATTAAACAAAAAAAATTTTTTTTTTTCAATTTAAATAATATGAGCTTTGATTCCAATAATTTTTTCCAGAATTTTATGTTATGAGAAAATAAATATTTTTAATAGTATATACTTTTATTATCATATGTACTATTCCAGCCAATATTATATATTATGTACATAAAATATATAAGTCTATGATTTATGTTCAATATAAACAAAACAATGGAAAATTTGTCGCTTCTTCTTAGATATAATTAAAATGGTAAACTCTAAAAGAAATATTAATTAATTTTTTATTCTACTGAATATAAAAATGGAGTCATTTTGTAAGATAAAAACTATTACTACAAAAATGATATTAATTAAATGAAATAATAAGCTATCAAATTACAATACAAAACAAGTTTTTTGATGTCAGTGTGAATAATTACAATTTAAATAAAGCGAACCTATATTAAAGTAATGAAAAAGTAAAATATAGTTTTACAGGTCTAGAAACTTTAACATACCTTTCCATCTGCATTACAGTCACCATAATCATGCCGATGATAATTTTTTACTTCTCGATCTAAGCATTTAAAATAAGATAAAAAATTTTAATCAAAAATTAACACCACAAATTAAAATCACTTTAATAAATGACATTGACAAACATTAAATAAAGAACTAATACTTACAAATAGAAGGCCCAGCAATTCTTTGACACTGAACACAATGATATTTTTCAATGTCTAATGACTCATGTTCTTTAACATTAACACAACTTTAAAAAAAAAAAAAAAAGAATTATATACATTTTTCAAAACAATCTTATAATTTCATAAATCTTAAGCAAGTTTTACTAAAAAAACTAACCACTCTAATTATTATAATCAAAAATTACTATATAGGATTTATTTTGTCATAGGTTTGATCAAGACACTAATTTAACACATCAGAAAACGAAAACGTAATAATAAATGAAAGTTACAAGCCAATGAAGATGATATAAAACATACGTTAAATGAAAGAAGAGTGACACAATAAATTAAAGCCAATTAAAAATGAAGTTGAGCAACAATTGTTCAGGACACTTAAAATACAAGTTTTCCTTCCATTAATTTGCTGAAACTATTCCTTTTGAAAATCTTTTGTTAGGTGACACTAAAAAAACTTTTTTCTTTTTAATTTATTGAAAAATGCTAATACAGCAGCAAATCGAAGATTAGGATAGGGTAGGAAGAAGGATTAAGATAATGATTTAATATTATTAAAATAAGTTTCAATAATTAAAAAGGATCAAACTAAAAAATGCAAAACTATATGGGTTCAAATTCCTCTAAAATTTATCAATTCACATACAATTAACAAAAGAAAATTTTTTTTAATGGATTCTTTAAAAATTAATCAACAATAAATAATAATCTAAATATATGAAAATCAATCACTGACAAGTCACATATCACCTAATTAATATGAGTATATAAATAAAAAACAATCAGTAGCTTTTAATTTATATAAAAACAAGAAATATGAATTTGGGTTTCGATGTTTTCATAATATATTTCGAACACATCAAGTTCTATTTATATTTGTAACCATTTAATAATAAGAAAAATTTCGAAGTGCATTATTGACAGGTTAGTACAATCACCATGACTGCTTGGTTAAAAACAAATGATGACAACAAGAAAAATTATTAAAGATAAGAATTCATATTTAATACCTTCCGTGATACCAATCTTTACAAGAATCGCACTGAATCATAAAACGCACAGAATCATAAGGCTCACCGCAAATACAATAAACAGTCCGAGAAGCCATTATTTTGGAACCAAAAGAGAAAGATTGCATTGCCAAGCTTGTTTTGTAAAATTTCTAAATTTTCTCCATAGCTGTTGACCAAGGTAGCCCAAAGGTTTAAAAGCAAATATGAAAATTTTGATTTTACTGAGCTTAAGAAAAGTTTTAGATAATGATGAAATAATTAATTCTTATGCATAGCTTCAAGTTATAAAATGTTTCCATAAATTATGAAGAAAAAAAATATTAATGATTCAGTAGTTAATTTTTACCGATAGATGTCACTTTAAGCACTAATTTGAATTTATAAAGAAAATAAGACTCTTTTGGGTTTGTACTACATTTTTAAAACTTTTAATTAACGCTATACACTCTTCTATACGTTTTTCGTAAACTCTTCAGGTCAAAAAATTCAGTTTCTATCTTAAAGGCATCATAAAAAATGTATTTTATTTTTACAACTATGACGTCAGATACCTTAGCTGACGTCATCCGCCGGTTTTCTGCCAGACGACAAGCGCAGAATTTTCGTCAGAGCAAGAAATACTGTTGTTATGCGAAGGCTAGGTCTTTGTTAGAAATATATCATGTCAGGCGTGCTCATCCTGTGAATGGGAAATATCGTGTTAAGTGAAACCCGAACAATTTATAAATATTTTGATACCGTTTGACTCGGAGTAAAGGTGATCACATAATAAATCACTAAAAAGCTGATATTTTTTAATTTAAAAGCATCCATGAATTGAAAGCCATAAAACAATAATAATTGCCGATTTTGCAATGTATCAAAATTACATTCTGAATGTGTGATCTTTTCATTCTTAACTTAATTTTGTCATTCTTAACTATTTATATTTCTTTGAAAGTACTTTTAATTCAAATATAGTTTTCCTAAGAAAATGTCCCCTGGTACTTCTTCCGAAGATGTATTATTGATGGTGAATCATGTCCATCACAAGAAAGTTGAGGGTACGTTATATTTAATGAATGAGCGGATTGCTTGGATGCCTAATGGCAAAGATACTTTTACTATCAGTTACAAATATGCTGATATAAAAATGCAGAAAATTTCCCCTGATGGGAAGTCTAAAGTTCAACTTCAAGTTGTGTTACATAATGGGGACACCACTACCTTTCATTTTGTTAATCCAATGGGGACTAATAACCAATTACAAGACAGAAATGGTGTAAAAGAGCTTCTTCAGCAATTACTTCCCAACTTTAAAAGAAAGATAAACAAAGAATTAGAAGAAAAAAACCACATTTTATCCAATGATCCAGTTCTATTTCAGCTTTATCGTGACCTTGTGGTTACTCAAGTGATAACAGCTGATGAATTCTGGGCAAATTATGTCAAAAAGAAACCTCAGAATTCTGTCAAACAGATAGATCAAGAAACAGGAATATCTGGTTCTTTTTTAATAGGTATTGCCCCTCAAACTGATGGTTCTTGTGGTATCAAATATAATATTACTCCTGAAATAATCGATTCAATATTTCGCACTTATCCGGCAGTTAAGAAAAAACACATGGAAAATGTGCCTCATAAAATTTCTGAAAGTGAATTTTGGACAAAGTTCTTCCAATCCCACTATTTCCACAGAGACCGGTTACACATTAATTCGAAAGATTTGTTTTCAGAATGTGCTAAAAGTGATGAACTGGATGTAAAAAATGCAATCGATAAAGGTATCTCGGATCCGTTTTTGGATGTTGAACATTTTGAAGAAGATAATATGGTTGATGAGGCTTCGAAATTTGTTGTGAATACCACCAATACTCAAAAAGAAATTAATCAATCTATGATTAGACGATTCAACCATCATTCAATGATGGTTCTTCAAAGTTGTATGAAAAAGAAATCTGAACCTGATGCTGTAGACGGAGCTCCAGCAGCTAAGAAACCAGCATCTATTAATAATTGTGTGCCTCCAGCAATGGAAAATAATATGCCATCAACAAGCACTGCAAAGGAATCTAAAAAAGCAATAATGGAAAGTAAAACTGAATACGAAGATTTAAGTGAAAATAATAAGCAAAATACCAGCACTTTAAATCTTACTAAGGTTAGTCGGTATCTTAGTGGTCCCATTCCTACATTAGATAATGAAGGTACTTCTGCTGAGGAAGTTGTAATGGCTGTTAACAGTTTGAATAACTCAATATATCATTGGTCTACAAACTTGCCCTCGGTTCTTACCCCAAGCTCTGCCATTGTTGCTTTAGGTGAAGTGATACCAGGTGGTTCCTTGATGAAAAACTTTGATGGTACTCAATTGAAAGATACTGTTCCATCAGAAATTCAAGTGGAGATGAAACAGTTATACTGTGCTTTATCAGAATTGCTACGGCATTTCTGGTGTTGCTTTCCCACAACAACATCTCAATTAGAGGAGAAGGTACTGGCCATGCAAGCAAGTCTGCAAAGGTTTGAGTATGCAAAACTGCAACCATTTCAAGAAAAACTTGGTAGGAATTGCCTCCCTCTGCAGTTATGTGATCATATGCGAAGCTTATTGCAAGCTGCTTACAAAAAATTTACCACTTGGCAGAGTCGTTTAGGCAGATGATAGTTACTAAGATTTAGTTAAAATTCGCTACTTAGCAAAAAATGAGATGATGGACAAATTATATTTCTATATTGGTTGTGTAAATTCCATTTCATTGTTAAAAATGTTACACAGTTTTGTGTAGCTATTGTTCATTATTAAAGGGAAATTATAATACGATTTATTAATTAATATCAGAATGGTTTTTTTTCTGATACTGGAAATTTTTTCCTTACATTTCTGCAGATAAACAAACTTATTTGTTCATGCTTTTAATATTTATTAGAGATAATTGTAAAGAATAATTGATGTTAGTATAAAATAGCATAATTTTTAATATGCTCTTTTGATTTGAATTTTTTTAATCTATGTATTGTAATTCAAACTAAATTTAAAGCAATATACTTGATTTTTTCTTGCTCATGCTATATTTCATGTTAATTTTAATATATTTAATTTTATTGTTACATAAGTGGTTAGCACAATGAATGCTGAAATTACTTGTTTTGTTGAATTAGTAATAATTTTAAAGTTAGAAGCACAAGCAGTTTTATGCACTTTTTATATATTATTGAACTGAGGTAATTAATTATGTAGAATAAACTTACAGGGAATATTTCTGTTTCAGTACCTGTTCGAGCTGACTAAAATTGGCATGTTTTTTTCATATTAAAAAGTTTTGTAGTTCAAATTTGAAGCTATATCCTTCAAGTTGGTCCCTTTTTGTGATATTTTTTTTTCTTCTAATTTCTGACTTGCCAATTCCGGCTACCAAAATTTTGCAACTTTTTAGCGCTGGTGCCGATATAGAAATCTTCCTATTCAGTTAGTGAGCAGGATCATCACAAGTGCAGTACACTACTAAAACTCAAATAGCAATGTATAGTTGGTTTTTGTCTAAGTTGCAAATATAAAATTTGCGACTTTCATATAAAGGTGCATTATGTAGTTAATTTTATCTTGTTTGTGAATTAAAAATACCCATTACCCATAGATTGAAATAATTCATTTATATTAAAAGATACTTTTAATAAGTAGTAGAAGTTTATTTAATTAACTTAAGCTTTTATATAATTGTAAATTCTAAAACATTTAAAAATTGTGATTTTCTTTACTAATTTTTAGAAATGAAGAATTGTGGCAATTAGGAGAAAAAAAATTATGAATTTTCCTTATATTCTAATAAATGTGATACTTATAAGTGTTTTGAAACCTTCAACTACAGTAAAGTTTTGTTTTATATAGGTAGAGTAAAAAAGAATTTGATAAACTATTTTTATTACGCTTTTCATAACTACATAGCATACAAGTAATATATTAGATGCTGTAAAATCTTTATTGACGCTAGTTTTCATCAAGAAATAAATTAATAATTTAACCTCTGTTTAAAAAATGAAAATTTACTACTTTAGTTAACAATTCGCGATCGCAGCACTCGAATACGCCATCTGGGGAGAGACCGGTTTCATGCCTTTAGCCCTTCTCCCTTCGCTCTCCTCCTTTTTTCAGTTATATAGGAATGTACTACGATATTTTCCCTTTTCTTAATATTTTTCCTTTTTACTTAATAAAAATATTTTCTAAAATTTCCGTGATACTTTTCTTTAGAACTATGTTTAATGTAGTTTTCAGTTCCATATAGTTTTTCAAGTTAAAAGATTTTAATCTATATGAAAATCAAGAGAGAAACTAACGTACTTCCTTCCTCTATGACTTTCCACACGCTAATGGGGAAAGCATGTGAAGTGTTGCCATAGGAAAAGAGTTCTGCTCTACGCCACCTGCAGCCCATTTCGATCGCCAATAATATTAATTGATGTTCACATTGAATCTGGAAAGCTCTTATTTTACAGATTTTATTTCTACGGTTGGCAACTGCTACAAGTTTCACAATGTAAGTTTAAATAAATATGTGGTTAGTAACAAAAAATTAAAGGAAATTTTAATAATAATAATAAATATTGTATGAAAGAAAAAAAAGATTGGAAGATTTTGATTTGAAATTTTTTTTCTCCAGATATTGAAGAATAACTGGCAAAATATTCACAATGAAATTTTTTTTAAATATAAATAGACAATTTCAGTAAATTTTTAAAAAGAAATTAATTTTATGTGTTTTCAGCCTTATAACCATACATTAACAACTAAATAATATAGTAGTATGTGGGTTCTTTTTTTTTTTTTCATGACAAACTAACCTAGATGCCCTCTCTGAACTAAAGCCTGTAAAAACATATTCTGAATTGATTCAGTTTGAGTTAAATGAATTTTCTTTTTTTTTCCTAACAATTCAGTTTTACATTTCATTATTTTTTTATTTTAAATATTTCAAGTATGGTTCTGTAAGATCAAGAACTATTACAATACAGATTAAAAACTTCATGAAAAAAAAAATTAACCAATTCAATTTATCATTCATTTTCACAGCATTCTGTTTGACTGAAGCATATTTCATATAAATTTTTATTTCAATGAGAAAAAAAAACATTGTCACCACATCAAATTGTTTTAAAACGCTAGATCATTTTCTCAAAGAGTATAAGTTTTTTGGAAAAAGCAAAACAAAGAAAGATGAATTCTTGCTCCCCAGTATTAAATCCAATTCAGCTTTTTTATCTCTACAAATAGTAAAAACTTGACCAATTTTATTGATGCTTCACTTGTTCTTTTTTTTTTTTTTTTTTGAGAGTGAGAGAATTAATGCCCAGTGATAGATTAGTTTATATTCATTTAGTAAATATTTTAAACATTTCAATTTTAATAAATTCTAATTTCTTACAATTCTGTTACAATCTTCTTAGCAGTAAACATGTAGATAAATAAATTCTAATGAAATAGAATATAGCACCTTTTCTATAGAAATTTCATATAAAAATCTGTATTAAAAAAAAACTGTGTACTACAATATATTCTGTATTTTTTCTAATCTTGAATAAACATCTATTTGTTATTTTGATTTTTTGCTTAGTTCTTAAAATTTTTTTATGTGCAAATACTAACTTTTAAGAATACATTCCTAAGTATGTGAATTATTCGAGAAATATGTTTATAGTATTAAACCTTTAATATGTTCTTTTTTCCACACATTTTATTTAAGGACAATATTTAATAATTCTGAGGAAGTTAAGAAAGAAAGGGTAGAAATAACTATATTATAATCAAAACACACTGAAATTACATACCAGAATTATTAGTTTGTTGCAAAAGTAATGTAGTGTTGAGTAAAGTCTTTTAATCAATGTAAAGTTTACATCAATATATTATGTGTTTTGCATAGCTACCAATTTTTTATGCTATTTGGTCAAGATTTTTCTTTGGAAAACATTTTTCTGAAATGTTTTTCTAAGGTGGCCAAGACATATTTGAAAATAGATGAGTTTTTTGTGGTGGCAAGTTTGTCTTGGTCAATTTCAATTAGTTTTTAATTCAGTTCTTTTAGTGCAATTTTTGTGTTTAGGCAATATAAATAATAGAAATTTAAAAAAAAAAATTTTGATTTAAAGAAATAAATATTTTAAATTTTGTTATACTCAAGCACCTTGTGACCAAATCTGTGATCTCCAAAAGAGTATTCAGTGACCAAGAGTATTCAGTGATTCATGCGACTGTAAGCAGTTTAGAGTACCCAGTTATGAAAGCCATTGGGGAATAGGACGATCTTATTTCCTAGGCCAAATTGAAAATGGCCTGAGTTTTGTCAAACCTCGCTTCTTCTTTAGATGTCCAAATATTGGCCACCTAAGAGACAGAAGAGAATGCCAAAATGATTTAGTTTTTGTGCAGATTAAATTATGTGAATTTTTAAAGTTTTACTACATATATTGAAGGTATTTATGAGTTGATTAGCAATTAGAGAATTTTCTTTAGTCTGTACTGAGCATCAAAAAATACCCTTTTTGAATTAGGGCCTGTCATCTACGTGCAGAGCATAAAATTCCAGTTTCATTTATTTAGCAAATTAAGTGTGTATGAACTTAAAAACATTTGCAGAGGAATTTTAGTTCTAATATCAAGTCATTTAAATTACTTTATACAGTGCATTGTGGTCATTAGATAGCTCACAAGTGCTAACTCTAGAGTGCATGAGTAGGTTTCAAAAGCCCTAAAAGTAACACACATTTGTCAGCTGTTTTGTAACCAAATCAAAGTTGAATAACTAGTTTTAAAAATGCAAGATTTTTTTTAGCCTGATTTTGTGCAAAAGAAGTTTGTTTTCATGTCATGTTCTAGAAAGAAAGGAGAGCAAGATGGGCTACTAAGTTTAGATACCGTAAAATAATAAAAAGTAATAGAAACAATTGATAAAATGTGTCTAGCTACCTGGTCCCGCACTGATCGTAAAGACATGGTTCTCAATGGAACACTGAAGTCAAGCATCACTATTTGAGGTCAGTGAGCAGGTGGGTGATCACTTTGATAAATCTGAGTAGGGGCGTGGTATCTGTCCTCGTTTAACTGGTCTACCGCAATGTACTTGACTTCACACGCTGGTCGTCGGGGGATCAATCCCTTCTGCAGAGGATCAAAATTATGATATGCCTTCTGATCATTTTCAGGGATATTTCCCATACTTGCCAATGGATGGTTGACCGTGTAAAAGTAAGCACAGGTGGCGCTAAGGGTTAAAATTCTTCGTAAGACTTCCGGGTTTCTACTTCCGACTGATTTTTACACCTCAGCTTGCAAAAAAAGCACCATTCAATATTGTTATACTTGTAATGTTTTCAATATAACATGTTAATTCAATCTAACTTTCAACGAAACAAACAAATGAATTCAGAAGATTCTGCCATCTTGCTATGATGCTATCCAAAAAATAAACTTTGCTATTTTACACAAATGTAGCCGAATAAGGGCTAACATTCAAAATATGGCTAACCTTGCACTTTATTTATTCTGTGATATTAATTTTGTTAAATTTGTTTTAGGCTCATCACCTGTAAGAATTTTTAAATTACAAAAAAATCTTATAAATGGTAAAATTACGCGTAAATTGATACACAAATCACATTAACAAAACTACTTAGAATATTAACCCTGTTCACATATCGCCTCGCGTGTCTGTTGCCATAGGAAACAGGATGCCTATACAAGTTTCTCCTTATGCATGTTTCCAAGCATATGCAATTTACTATTAAAAAAAGAGAAACGCCTCCTTCCTGTGTTTCTTGTGAGACGATTACACAGTAAAAAATGGTATGCTGATTTCAAGAATGCGACTAATTAAAACTTATTAACAGTGGTTTAAATACCACCCCTGAAATCCCCATGAAGCTGGGGTGGGAGCGCGATCAGGAAATAATACATGACATAGGGTTGAACAACCCAATGCCCTCGGTACCACCTGAACCTAAAAAAAAACTATTTTATTTATTTATTTATTTTTGCAAAGAAAAAAAAATCTGAAATTTTGAATAACGCATTTAAGTTTTTAAATGCATCAAATCTAAATCAATGTAGTCTTTTGATCGCTTTTTTTTAAGGTTATCACTACGAATTTCACAAAAATCCCGAATGTCTCTTCATAGTGTTCTTGTCTCATATTAAATCTGAAACTATATTTTGTTATGTCTAAGATAGAGTGCATTTATAATTCTTGCACCCAAGTCTATGTAATTATTAATTCTATTAAGAATTAATAAAAGGGTATGTAATTATATTTTATTCAAGGTATTCCATATTGATTTTCTGCCTTTTCACTAGAAATTTGTATTTCCTTCATAGTGGAATGATCATTACTTTAAATTAATTAATGAATGTTGAATAAATAAAAAACATTGCAAGAATCTATGCTTATTTGATGCTAAAATGTATAATGACTGGAGGAATTCGAATAAATTGAGTACAGTTTTTAAATGCAAATATATTTATACAATCCTTAGTATTTAACGATGTAAGAAAAAAGAAGCTAGAATTAATATATTGAATTTACTATTCGTAATTTGAGGATCGCTTTCCTCTTTTGTTCAACCACATTTCATTGACTCAATAAAGTTTTCACATGATTATGTAATAAAAAATACATAAGAAATATTTTATGAAAACAATAATTAAAATATGACCCTAGCATACAAGTGTGACCAATATAAAGCATGTGACCTAATTCGTTTGAGCAATAATGTCAGATTTGAAGTGTTATTTATTGAGTATAGGTAAATTTTCCGTCATATTTGAGGGAGTTATAAGCTTATGACTAAGTTGTAAATTCATAAGCTTTAAAAAATTTCAGGCCTATATTTTTAACTTCAGTACGAGATAGACTTGATTAAAATCAACAACAAAAGGAGGGATTTTTTGCATGAAATTGACTGACATAATTTTGATTATTTTAAACATATACTTTTTGCAATCTTTTCCTTAATTCTATGCATTCAGTTTCAAATTTACACAGAGGAAGGACGTAACATTTTAAGAATTCTTATATTTTAATAAAAGTTCTGTAGATGGCACCACCACAGTCTTTATCAATTTCGAAGCTTTTTTTTTTCCTTCCCTTCCCCAACTTTTGAGGAAAGACACTGGATGAGGCGTCATTTTGAGTGACAAACTCAACGCAGCTGCGTAATACCATTTTCAAAAGCTTATAGCTTACATAAAGAAATTGCAAATAAAAAGCGCTCTTGTTGTAACAAAAACAAAACGCCAGAAGTTTCGTATCATGCTTCGTTAATAAATTTATATGTTTACGTTGTATGAAGATTTTATAATTTAACTTTCTTTTTAAAAATACACAAAAAGTAAAAAGTTATAAAATTTTATTCGACTACCTATTTACTGAAAAAATATCTTTAACATGGGAGTTGTGAGGTATGTTAAGTTTTATTCGATCTGTTATTTGATTGATCATATGAATAGTTATTGTATATTTTATTTTATTTATTATAATAATTTTTCGATTTGTCATATTATGAAACATTTTCTAAGGAAATTTCTCCTTTGTTTTTATCTCAGTTTTGGGTTTTAAGTTGCATAGTAAATTAATTAACTTCAGCCAAAAAAAAATTAGAGAATAATTTTTTCTCTCTTTCATTTTTTACTGACAGAAATTTCAAATAGAGAAGTGAATCTCAAAGAAAAGATTAAATTTGTTGACTACGGTTATTTTTTAAAGCAATATTAATGATGTAGAATTATTGATCAAATATTTTATTATTGATAAGTTTTGGTATAAATTTACAATTTGCTGCCCCTCTTGTTTTTGGTGATTATTTTAAAAGCCAAATCTGTGCCAAAAAAGAAAAAAATAGAATTCGTTAAAAAAATTTACAAATTTCTTTAAACAAATGAAGCATTAAAATATTTAGTGTTGATTCGAAAGGTCTTGAAATTTTGCCTGGTTCAGATTTCCTGCGAAAATTGAATCTTCTACCTGGTTTATTCTGAGTAGTGGCCAAAAATTTATTTGTTACCTGTTAAAAGTTAGATTCATTACCTGAATGAGTATTATAACACTGAGTGCAAGACAATATAAAAGTCGTATAATTATTTATTGAACTAATATTTTACAAGATATAAAGTAGAGCATTCCCCCAACAGCCTGTTGTGAGCCAGGGGGTTCCTGGTTTTGCAATTTCGTGACCAACAACATGATTGGGGCAATGTGGTTAGCATTGTGTACAGTCGACTGGCTTATAGTCAGTGAACAGAAGTTTTTACTCTCCTAATCTTACACGTCTATATTTGTATAACAGTAATAATGTACCTCTTAAAGATAAAGTAAAATCTTAAAAATAAAAATAAAGTTAAATATGAAATAAAGTAAATTGAGCTATTGAGTTAGAAATTCCTCTTCTAGTAAAAATTAAGTTTTAAGTTACCAATGATCCATTTTATTTATACATGCTTCTTTTTACTATATAACTGTTAATCAACCTCTACTAAAAATGGAATAAAATGTTACCAAATAAATTTTCTCTTGAGTTATGTAAAAATAAAAAGTGTTTTTTGTTTGAAACAATACTCTTGATTTTAAGATACGTTTTCATTTACTAGAAAAATAATCTTCAGCGATGCCTATTAAATTAGTTATAGCATTCAAACAATTATGTCTTTTGTAAAAAAATAATTGTTTTATTTGCAATGTCAATTATACTACGATAAAATGCTATGCCTACTAAACCAAATAATAAAAACTTTGCAGAAAATATGTGCCAAAGCTACATGTTTTAGCTTTATTATTTAGAAACTTAATATAAGAGTAATCATATTTTTTGACAGTTATCTTTGAATTTTATCTATAATGATATTATTAATTTTAAATAAATGTCAATAAAATTACCAATTTTGAATTTTTTATTTATTTAACTATCATATTAATTTAGTTAGCATAGTTTTCAGCATTATATTTCTCATATGTCTTCTTCCAAAGTAGATACCTCTCTATAGGGAACTTATTTCTCTGTGCCAAGTTTGTCCACTTTAGCAAGGTTTCCCTAGATTAAAATTTAGCACCAGAGTAAATGTGCGCCATGTGTTTCATTATACATTTCTTTTTTTAAAAAAGTGCCATTTCTTTTTTAATGGCATTTTAGTTTGAATAATTTCATAAAGGCAGCCCCTAAATATGAAATAAATCATGGCTTATTGATTAGATTTAAATCTGATTAAAATTTGCAAAATCGTTGCGTTTAATCTCCAAAATGCAAAAAAGCTTCAAAATCTAGGTTGAGTTAGGAAGCAAAAAAACAAGATTAATGTTTCTTAATTTGTTAACATGTGGGTGAGCTAGGCAAATGTCAACAAATCGTTAAATCCGAGAAAAAATGCTCGCTAGTATATTCTTATACATTTTTAGCATTCAATTTTCCTTGTTAAATGTAGACTTGTGCTATATAACTCTTAGCAGCCATCGGAAAGACTAAACACATAATTTTTTAAATTTTTGCTTTGGCACTTCAGCTATTGTCGTTTATGTGAATAGATGCCGCTACACTGCAAAATTATCCCTTGGAAATCTTTCCATTTTCTTGATTGGAATTTTTTTAGTTTTCAAAATTGTTTTCTGTCAAATTAAAAATAACATCCAGATTTGATTTTGCATTAATTTTTTTTATTTAGTATTCACCAATTTCCTATTCCTGAAGGTAAAAGTGGCCAGCAAGCAGCAGAGTTATTACAAAAAAGATTAGAAACAATAGGAGCAGTGAAAACTGGAACATTTTGTGTTGAATGTGAAACCTATTATGCTGCTGCACATATTAGTAAGTAAAAGTTTCTTCAACACACTTCGTTTTTACTCAACTCGTTTTTCCAATTATCTTTGAGCTAAATATCAGGTCAAAAAATTTTTTTCTTCTTTTCTGTTTGCTACAATCTTTTGAATATAGTCTGTTCCGTGACTCCCAGATATTCTCCAGTTCTTTCCTGTTTCCCCCCCCATCAAACTTAATTTATACAACTTTGAACTATTGCTTCTAAGCTTGCAGATTTAACTCTAGAGTTATTAAACTATATCCTAATGGATTGTCATAATTTTCTTCAACTGGAAAAAATCCAAATTGTTTATCAAATTTGCGCTTTAACTATATTAAAATGTGCTAATATTAATAATAAAGAAATGAAAAAACTTCTTTTTTAAAATTTGTGTTACTTAACAGATGTTGAGGCTTCCTGTTAGTGCTTCTTAAACTATTTAATTGATTAAAAAATCATTTTTTGAATTGATTAACATTATCATTTTTAGAAGTTGATAATTTTATGACTAATGATAATTTAAAATAATATCTGTTACTATTAGTAATGTTAACGGTACTATCGAATCCTCAACTATCCATTTTTAACCAGTATTGATTTCAAAGAGAATTTATTTTTGTTACTTAATTTTCCTTTTGTATTTCCACTTAATAATATATTCTGAATACTTATGCAACAACAATTTTCCTTTCTTTATTCATTAAAATAAACTTCTGTGTTTCAAAAATAATTTGTAAAGCAGAATAAGCTAAGATTTTTTTTTTTTGGTAAATAAGTTCATTTGAATTATATGTTTTATTTTTCAGATCCAAACCGAGCAGTTAATATAATTCACAACAGTGAGCATCCAGTTACTTGTTTTGCGTTATTAGATTCTGGAACTTGTTTGATGGCAGATTCTCAGTTTGACATGTTAATGGCAAAAATGACTGGCATATATCTTCCTAAAAAGGCAATAAAAATTGAATCAAAAGGACCACGTTTTGAAGTCCAAGATTTTGTGATTAAACTCGGAAGTGTTTCTATTGGACCTAGTTTCCGTGGAATTTTAGTTGAGGTAAGAATACTGTTTTTAATTCAAGCCCTTAAGCAAGACAGAAGATTTCGCGAAGACTTGCACGTTTGAAACTTTTTAATATTTTAAATGTATTGATTTGATTCTCAGATGAATCTAATTTATTTCCTTTATAATTTTTAGGTTGAATATACTCCATGCGTTATACCTCTAAGTTGTTGGGATTTAATGAGAGAATTGTTACAAGGATTCATGGGAAATAGTGTGCAATGTCCTTCTCAGTACCTACAATCTAGAATGAATGAAATTTATACACCTGTTGATACTGTTCAACAATATATGGAACATTTTAATGCTTTCAGAAGAGCTCCATCTGGTGTTCGATAGTAACACTTCATAGTTTTTCTTGGATTTTATTGTTAAACGTTTACTTTCATTTAATTAGAACCAGTATAATAATCTGGTGTTGTGACCTTTATTTCATTTGCTGATAATATTCACTTTGTAAATATTCATGATGTATGGATGATAAATTTCTTGTCTTGCTGTTGTTTGCATTTGTAACTAATTATAGTAGCATAACAGTAACTGAAAATTAATTTAGTAGCTATATTTTATGAATGGATATCTACCTAATTTCATTCATGGAAAAGAGCAATAAAACTTGTATAGATTGCACAAAACATGTACTCTGTACACATGAAATTATACCACATTTAAAAAAATAGTTCATTTAGGAATACATTAGTTCACATTAATTTGTTTTATAAATAATAGTGAAATTAAATTCCATAAACCACCTTTGAATTGTTTTTAATGGATATTTTGAGTACTAATTTAAATATTCCAAATATGTTACATGATGTCTGTTTCAATTAACTACAAGGTTGTATTGATAATATATTGATGTACATAGAGAAATACATTTATTATTTTTATGCAAAACAGGGATCATAATGGTTCTTTGAGTTAAAAAAAAAAGGGATTAAAAATTTGGGAAAGAGGGGCTTATGTTTGGAAAGTTTTTCTTTTTACAAAGATAAATAAGTTTATTTAAACACTTATTATAGTAGTATAATAAACATTCTTATAAAAAAAATATTAAATTGGTCATTTAAATAAGAAATTTGAGCAGTGTATACAAAACACAAAAAGAAATACATCCTTCATAAGTTACCTGAATCAATGCAAAGGAAAAACGGGAGGAAAACAATAATGCATTTTTGATTGAACCGAAATTTATTAATATAAAATTGATTCAAATTGCATCCGAGTTACCAGCCATTTAAAGAGTACATAACGATTATAATAGCATTGACAGGTTTATCAAGCACTTTAAGTAATTAAACTTATGTAATTTTCGGCTAAACATGCATTAAGATTCTCCTACACCCCGTAGTTAAAATTCTCAATGCCAAATATAGAACAGAACTAAGAAGTAACTAAATTATAAATAAAAATTTTAATTAAAAAAAATGAAATTTTTAATAGCATATTTAGAAACTATTTTTTGACACTAATTGAAATACAAACAAATTGTATTTTAATTAGTTAGTTAAAATACAAAAAAAGCAGTAGAGATTATTTTTGCTAAAAAGGGCAGGGGAGGTCTGAAATTACCACAACTTAATATTCAGGGATGAGATTAGCCAAAACGCAAAAAAGTTGAATTTTCACGATAGTAAATTTTACGCAAGCGCAACCCTTTAATAATAAATTCCAGACAGTTTAAGGTAATAAATAATGTGTTGACATACAATTGTGTACTAATCTATTATTATAAAAACGATTACATTGATACTTAACATTTAGTGAAAAAAAAATTACCAATTGAAAAAATAAAGCTGGAAATTATATTTTTCCTCAGTTCACATAAGAGACAATTACTACTTGAAAAACTACCTGGTTTAGAAAATTAAAACTACTGATAATATATATTAATATTTCATTTCTTTTAATAAATACTGTTATGTGATTTATAGCAAATATATCAGTAATATTACTTTTTAAATTATATTGAAAAAAAAAACTTAACAATGGACCGAATCATTATGTTCATATTATAGTCTAATCTAACTACAGTCCGCTGAAACATATCAATAACAGTGAAGTAGAAATATATAGTAACTCCTTAACATACAAAAATTGCTATTTTAGTTTGAAAAATTACATGACAATCAGCAACTGTT